ATACACGAAACTTTTAAAGGGTGGCCGATGTGTTCAAGAGAATTACCTCAAATGCTCATTTTAATACTATTTATTAATAATTTTAAAAATTATATAAGTTTTATTTATTATTATTTATTTTTGTATTTTTACATATGAGTTTTTCAAATTGCATTTGTTTTAAGAAAATATATGAATTTTATTTGTCTCAAATAAATGCAATTAAAAGATGTACATTTAATTGTAATTTATTCTAAATTTTAGTATATTTTTTACATTCATAAATTTAGAATTCATTCTTATTTTAAGAATATATTGTTGTATATTGAATTTATGAAAAAAATTATATTAAAATATTCTAAATTAGGTGCTAAGATTAGATTCTTAATTTTAGAATAAATTTTGTTTTAGTAAAGTTTTAATTCTTCTGAAGAAGTTAATTTATTTTTATTACATATTTTATAGTTTTTACAATTCTCTGCTTTATAGACATCAGTTTTGCTTTGCAATTTCATTTTGATTTATAAAATATAAAGCTTTGAGGCCAATTATTTTGTTGTTCCATCACATGCCATAACAATTGTTGTCAGTGTTACGAGTCCAATGACCGCAAATTAAGGCAATAGAAGATGTCAATGTGTGAAAATGGTAATTGTTGTTACGAAATGGGGGGGTTACGTTAAATACTTCTTTGGGATTTGAAACTTAAGATTTTCTCTATAATTTATTAACGTAACATGTTTTTCTATATAAACTACATTTTTTTTTCTCAGAAACACGATTCTCCATTTCTAAATTTATATAACAATATCGTTTCAATTACAACTTTATAAAAGAAAATATTTCATTTTGTCTCAATATATTTGAAAAAACTTGCGATTATTATAATAATTAGCGAAAGATGTTGTAAATTTTCGTTTTATAATAATTAGCAAAAATTATTGTTCTTCATTTATTAAAAAATAACTTTTAAATTCCATTATAGTATTACTGTTATTTTTATATGATTTCAAATATTTAAATCCTATTTTTTCAAGAAGCTGAAAAAAAATTAACACTAACAATTTTCCACACCTAGAATTAAATTTTATTAAAATATTTGCGACAATTTTTTTCTGTAATTTTTTTAAAAAAATTTTTTCCAAATTTCCTTTATAAATATATTGATTACTGAAATTTAATTTTTACAATAATACTCAACGTACATAAATAAGATTTAAAATTGATGCTTTGCAAAAATTTTTTTCTACTAAAAAAATAAAATAACAATGGGTCCAAGCAACCTGTTTGCAAAAGAAAGGCAAAAAAATATTCAGGGCGTGAACGAATTAATTTCATTGGAGTAAATCCTTTGAAAAATTTTTATCTTTTTATCCTCTGATGATATATATATATATATATGAAGCTTTAGGAAATATCTTGAATCTTATCCTATTGTCATGATGGTCGTGAAATAAATATGTCTTGAGAAAGGACTAAAAGTCATATATATATACATATTGCTTATATGGAAAAATTTATTTTCTTCTAATATTTAAAAAATTTTCCATACATATATATATATTGAGCGAGGGAAGGGATAAAAGTAATGTGGTTTATTATCGCGTGCAAGTAAAGACTTACTTGATCTGAACGGGGAAACGTCAAATTCCAGTAGTGCGTCTCCGGATGCAGATCAATATAATGGGAAATGGCACATGTCCCCCGTAAACCACATTGTAACGCCGGTAAAGGATATAATTGCACTCGCGTTATAACCGCAAGTTCTGTGTGAAAAACGGCGGGAGAAATTTCTAATTTATTGTCACAATTGAATTTTCCGTTTATGTCTTTTAAGTCATTCGAATACTTATGAGAACACTAAAACATTAAAATAAACGCATGTTTAATATATATCTAATATAAACCAGAGAAAAAAATTACTTGACTGTCACGCGCAGAGGAACTGGGAAATAAACGAACAGTGACTTTCGACGAGCTTCTGCGCCGGTCCGTCGACGTCGTCGTCAAGGCGACCAGGTCACTTTTGGATCGATTCATCGAAATGTAACACACGAAATAATTTCGATTTCTCGATATTAAAATCCTTTTTCTCTATTTCCGGATGCTGCATTTATATATATATATGTGTTGTCATTGTAATTATTCCTTTTTGGTTTTTCGTTATTGTTTATTGATTAAATAGTTGTCATGTTAAATGAACATTAACTTCTTACTATATTCGATTTTGGGGCAACAATCTTTTAATTTTAATTAATTCAATTTTTGTGTATTATGGCCCACGCGTTTTTTTTAAACTGAAAAACGTTAGAAAGAAACCGCTGCCAAGTTGAAGTATAAACTTTTTGTGTTCATGAAATTAACACTTTGCTTCCTCATGGAAATATTTTGTGACCAACTTATTTAGTATTATAATAATTTTAAAGAGAAGTTAAGTTGTATTTTTTTGACGTTTGCAGAAATAGATTTTCAACATCAATAATTGATTTGATTTTAAAAATTCCCAATAATTTTAAAGTTACATAAATATTTTTTAATCCATGAGGACAAGTATTGCCACAGTAAAAATTGGAGCTCAAAATGATCCAGGATCATTTTGATCCACAGCAAAAATTTTTTGTAATATAATAAATATTTTGTAATATTATTATAATACTACTGCAATATCACCATCAGGCGGACATTTTTAATATAACAGTAATATTATATGCTACTTGGGTATTATTATTTAAATCAAATAATTTTTGAAATAATAGTCACTTTATTTACGTGTTTAAAGTCTAATAAACTGTCCATTATTTCACCTAAAAGAATGTAATAATAGAAACGAATGTGGCGCCATCTCTTGGTGCAAGAAGCAGTTGAGTGGCAAAGTGTGCTCCTGGTTGTGATGATCGCGTACCTAACCTATTTTATATATTAAGAATCAGACAGCATTCCTCGTAATTTGTCACTATTATTAAATTATCATTGTTTATTTTAAAAAATGAGCGAAAACGAAGCATTTTCTGATGAGAGTGATGATAATTCAAAAATAAATTAGTAAAATAATCAGATGAATAATTATGATAATAATTCCACATAAGTAACTTTTTGATTTGGATATTTCGACTTCAGCCTAGTAATAATAATATTAATAATAATATTAACAGTCATAATAAAAATAATAATAATAATTTTTCATAACACATCTAGAAAGATGCAACTTTTCGTAATTATCCAATTCAAATAGTATTTTCAGTATTAAGAAATAAAAATTGAAATGTTTAAATATGGAAATAATTTGATAAAAAAGAAATATTTATAAAAGAATTTTTTTTATACAAAAACGGTAGTGATAGTTTTTAAATTCTTTTCTTATCTTAATGTCTTTTCTAGCGTTAATAAAACGAATATATATTTTTTAAAGGAAATGTGAAATAAAATTTAGGAAAACTCATTTATTTTTTATATGTCATTCTTGTATTAAAAACACATTTTGATTTTTAAAACTTGTTTCACGATATAAATGTGTTTTTAATAACTGTTTCTTTTTTTTTATGAATATTTATTTACGAATTTTTATTTTGTATAATAAAACTACGAATGTTTGAAATTATTTTATACATTTGCTATACATTTTTTTTATTACTCTTTTTTACTACTTTTTTACCACTATTTTACAATAAAAGAAATTAAATATTTGAAAAAAGGAATTTAATTTATATAAAAAATAACTATATATTGTTTCCTTCCGGAAAATTTCATAAATATATACTATTATTATTATTTAACAGTCATTATCAAATATAAATTATATATATATATATATATATATATATATATATATGTTGAGCTATGTAACTTTTAAAATTAGCTTTTAATCAATTTTGTAATGTTGACAATTAACTGCAGTTGAGAATTTAGAAACTACGTAGAGAATTTTCTAATAAATTTATAGAAAGAATTCTATAGTAAATTCACGTGCTCGACACTTTTTTTCCTTTTTTTTTTTTTATTTAATCAATTTCAGTATTATGTAGTATATGTAGGAAAAAAAAGTTGCAACTTTTACGCAAAATATAAGCATTCAGGAAATTGAAAGTCCCTATATCAATTATATTGCGATTTTGTACCCGGAAAATCTGATTCAATTGAAATTGTCTCTTTGGAGATTTATAAAGTTTACTGTTAAAACTCGTCTGACCAAAAAAAGAGTTTTAAGATTGAAGAATTTGTCGCTTAAAGTTTACTGCATAACGCAAAAGTGCCTCCAAGGAAACTTTGCGTTTTTCGTATTAAAAAAAAAAAAACATTACTCACTATAAGGCTTGCGTTCACACTGGATTCACAAGTTTAACAACCGGTTGCAATTCCAATCACAAATATGTCGGCAGCACCTTATTGTATTTTTTTTTTACATCCTATTACATTCCGAGAATCAATCATAGTCTCTTCAAATAATATTGGAAATTTATTTTTTATGCACTCGGATTTTAATACTTAAAAAAAATTTTTTTAAACATTTTTTTAATTTAATTATAAAAATTTTTTATTTTTTAGAAACTTAAAATTTTTTTAAAATTATTTTCACTTTAAATTAAAATTAATAATTAGAATTTTTTTTTTTATCTATATACGATAAATTAATTAAATAAACGATTTTAAATGGAAATCTTTATCTAACATTCAGGTTAATTTGTAATGTTATTTTCTAGTACGCTTTTTAACCATATACTTAAAATGCCAACCTTTGCCTAAATATATAAAATTTTTATTCAGCAAACATATATTTTCTAACTTTCTCTTCTTCGAAGATAATAAAAAAGGATTTTTCGCTTATGAAATCTTATATAGAATTAAAATGTATCAACAACGTGAATCTTTAAAAACGGAAATTCCTTATCTGACCAATTTTTTATACATCAGTCATTTACAAAGAAAAGAATAAAGAAAAATTGAATTAAATTTGTATTCATGTGATAGAAGCAATATATTATATATATAAGCGAATCGACTCGATGTGTTTATAACTTCACAACTTAAGAACTGACAGGTGGTGACCTTTTACATTTAGATTTAAGTTTTCGTATACTTCTTATATATGAATTGTTTAAAATAGTAATGAAAGTGTAAAATATTTTCTCACGTTATGGTTAAAAATGACATCAAAGTTTATGCTCGTCTAAAACCTGAGTGGTCGCAAAAAAACATCACCGTACGTATCACGAATACTAAATTCATTTTACTTGAAATATATTTTTGTTTACGTTTCATTTCCCCATAACCTAACGAGAATAATTCACTTTAGAATCATGAAGTTTATCACCGTCCAAAAGGACGCGCGGACGAAGATTTTTTGATTTTAACAGCCCCTCCGAGAATTTGCAATGAGTATATTGATAATCGACCTGAATCTTGGAATTTTTCGTAAGAAACAAAACACTTTTTTTTTTTTTAATAAGTAGCAATATTATTTTTTAAAAATTAATTTTTTTTTTTAGATTTTTCAAAATTTTTGAAGAAACCGCGGAACAAGAAATTATTTTCAATGAAGTTGCCAAACCGGTAATTCACAGGTGATTAATAATCAATTTTTTGAAATTATAAGCATTAAACTATATATATATATATACATATATATATACATATATATATATATATATATATATATATATATATATATATATGTTTTTATTGTTACATTAGCTAATTTGAGTATTTCACTTTAGTGTTCTGAATGGTTATAATGGGACAATTTTTGCATACGGTCAGGTAATAAATCAATTTTAAAAAATATATTTTGTAAAATACAATATTGTTTTTTTTACAATAATTTAAAAAAAACAGACCGGAAGTGGAAAAACTTACACAATAACTGGCGAACAAAACAGTTATGACTTGAGAGGAATATTACCCAGGACTTTGCAATATTTATTTACTCTAGTTAAGAAGGTGTGAAATTTTATTTTTCTCATAAATTGAATTAATATTCAAAAAATTATAATTAATTTTTTTTTTCTAAATCTCAGCAAACAGAAAATCTTTATTCCATTGAAATATCTTATCTGGAAATTTACAATGAAAATGGTTACGATTTACTTAATAGAAAACAAGAATGGAGTTTAGCAACAAAAATTGAAGATTTGCCGTAAGTTTCACAGATTTGTTTATAAAAAATAATAATAATAATAATAATAAGAAAAATAGGGGAAAAAATTACGAAAACCTAGTGATAATATTTTTTCTATTAAATATACGTGGAAATAAAAAATAATATTCTCATAATATATATATATAAGAGATAAATTTCTTTGGTGGCTCAACTTTCGAAATTATTTTCTCATAACAATGTCGGTTTCATGAAAGTGATGGTTTTATTAATTAAGGCGCAGGGATTAATTAAATATGATGTGCAAGATGTGCGTGTAATATTTTCATATATTTATTCGGTTCAGTTAACATTTAAATCTTCCTTGTATTCAGAAGAGTTACCATTCAGGAAGACGAGACTGGTACATTGCACTTAAAGAACTTGAGCTTCTGGCCAGTTACAAATGAAAAGGATGCCCTTGATTTACTCTTTATTGGCGATACCAACCGGTGAGCATGTGGTGCATATATATACATAGGGTGTTTAAAAAGTATTGAAACTTGCAAATATCTCGAAAAGTACGCATTTTCGTGATATACTTCTTTTTTCACTGTTCAGTCCCGGGCCCAATGTTTTGGGTTCAAAAATGTGAATCTTTTTGTTGGGAACAACTTTTGTCTTGATCATCATGGAGAAAAATGGAATTGTTGTGCAAACAATTTTTGGATTGTTGTCAGTAGATTTGTTAATATTACAATTCAAAATGTTAATATTACAAATCGGATTGTTGTCAATACAAATGTATATTGCTTTAACAACAATACGAATTTTTTTCTTTACCTTCTATTAAAATCTTACGAAGGTGTTTTGCTTCGTTTAGGAGATATTAATTTTTTAAATTTTCTATTTAAAAAGGTTAATTAAAAGACTTGAAGTTAACTGACCAATTTCAAATCGCTAGAATCTTGAGAAATATATAATCTTGAGAATCTTGAGAATATATAAATAACATTTTTTTAAAAATCGTATATCATCCAAAAATAATAAATTTTTGCAATAATTCTTTCGTTCCTCTGTGCAAAATAAAGTGATTTATGTTTTTCGTGAGTTCCAACATCTAATTTTTAATAGTTTTTTAATAATAGCGTTTTTAAAAAAATTGAAAAATTTAAGGTTACAAAATCACATTGTGAACCTCCTACTTTTGATATTTAATATTTTTAAAGGGAATAAAATTTTTTCCATAATATTATGGTTAATGAACTCAGGGAATCATCGAGTTTCACATATATATTTAAACTAGATTTTCTAAGAATTTGGTCGCAACCACTATTAGACGAAAGTCAGTGGACTGACCCTTTAATAAAATTTTGATTTATTTAAAAAATTTTATTAAAAAATTTCTACTTATTTGAATTTTATAAAAGTTTTTATTTAAACAAAAATTATTTTAATTTTAATAATTAAATTGAAAATAACTTAAATAAAAGTACTTCTTCTTTTTCTTTTAAGAGTTGTTTCGGAGACTCCGATGAATCCAATGTCATCCAGATCTCATTGTATATTTACAATTATTGTTTCAATGAAGAAATTTGGTTCAAATCACTACAGTAGAGCCAAAATGCATCTAGTTGATCTCGCTGGGTTAGTTAGTTACTGATAATTTTACTGAAAGTTTTTATTGACAATAGATAATAAAGAAATCTTTATCTACTCTAAGCGCCTTAACTTAGGCAAATATTGTTCTCGAAACGCAAGAACGGTCATCATTCTCCAGGGGGTTTGAGGACATTTTTAATTATATCAACATAATTATTTTTTAAAAAATAAAGCCTTAAAATTCTGAAATATTAAAAAAAAAACAAATTATCAATTATTTTGACTTTTAGGTTGTATTAGCATCAAATTAAATTTCTTTCATATTTGACTAAAAAAAAAGTAAATTTAAAAATTGTACAAGTTTTGTCATATATATGCAATATGAGTAAAAGTAAATAAAAAGAAATATTTAATTATTGGCGGAAATATTTTTATTCAAAAGAATAAATTAAATCGCTGGTAGGGGTAGGAGAATGCAATAAATAATCAACTTTTGTTTATCCCTTAGATCTGAGCGTGTGTACAAATGCGCTATTACGGGAACTATTTTAACTGAGGCGAAACACATTAATTTAAGTCTGCATTACCTGGAGCAAGTCATAGTGTGCTTGGGTCAACAGAATGCGAATCACATTCCCTACAGGTGGTCGATGCTTTGCTATTTAATCTTTAGAAGAAAAATTCATGATTGCAATTCCTTTATTTTTCTACTTTCAGAAATTCTTTACTCACTGCCATTCTTAGGGACAGTCTCGGTGGAAATTGTCTGACAACCATGTTGGCTACACTCAGTCTTTCAATACAAAACTTAGAGGTTTTAAATTATTAATTATTATTATTTTCATTTAATAAATTTTATAAATCTTGTAATTTTTTTTTTTTTGTTTAAAAAAAATTATTTTTCAAAAAAAAATTTGAAAAAAAAACATTGGTACTAAAAATTTTACGAATTGAGAAAGTTTTTATTTATTGATTTTCTTTAATTATTTATTATGTAATATATTTATATAAAATTGTTTAATCAATATAGGAAACAATATCAACTTGTAGATTTGCCCAAAGAGTTGCTCTTGTTAAAAATGATGTAAATTTGTGTATACAACATGATATTCATAGTGAAAATACTCTTTTGAAAATGGAAAATGAACAATTGAAGAAACAAATTGAGATACTTAAAAATCAATTAGTCAATCAAGTATACATTTAGGATTAGTTTTTTAAATAAATTATATAAATACCCCTTTTTATTTTAATAATAATTTTAATTTTTAGTCTCCTAGAGAATTGAATGAGGATGAAAAAGAATATTTAGATAAATCCGTAGAAGAATTTCTCGAATTGGATGAACATTTTAAGTATACCAATGATCCCCGAAAACTGCATTATTGTCTTGAAATTTTAAAAGGGAAATTCAAATTACATGATTTTGAAAATGGAACTAAAACGATTTGTCCAAAGAGTTCAGAATATTATAAAAATTTAATTCTTCAAAGAGACAAGGAAATTTGTATCCTTTTTTTCTTGTATTTTTTATTGCACTACAAAAAAATGTAGAAATTTCAAAATATCTGTATATGAAAATAATATACATATATCACCTTGATTCTTTTAAAGCATTATTAATTAATATGCTGAAAAAGGAAAAGAAAAAGTTTTCAAAACAAAAATTGCCGAAAGAAAATTTTCAAGGTATGTATAGAAAACTTTGATCTAAAAAGTTTAAATTAGTAAAAAAAAAAGTTTTAATAAAAATTAAACTAATTAGAAAAGAAAAGTGAAAATTTGAAGGAAAATAGCAATGAATTATTAAATGGAACACTAGCAAGCGAATCAATTATGGAACATACTAAGGAAACACCAAAAGAAACAAGTGCTTTTTTACAAATATAATTAAAAAATCATTAACATGAATTGAAAAAAAAAGATTTAATTTTTTTTTCAAACTAAAAATATTTTTTTGTTATTTCAAAAATTTTTTTTAATCCCTTCAATTTTTTTCCCCCCCTAAAGGAACTTCAATTCAAAATCAAAGTAATCCAGATCCAAATCAAATAAATGAGGAAATGAATCCAAATTTGGAAAATAATCTAATATCATTAACTCCACAAGATATATGTCAATTAAAAAATTTAATTTCCATGTATAATGGACACATTTTAAGTTATCATCAGTCATTGGTTAGTGAAAAAAAACATTCAGATAAAGTGTCCAATGAATATAATTTTGCCACTACAACAAAATTGAATAGCAATAAACAAGAAAATCTATTTCAAAGTATAGATACCACTGGAAAAACTCTTTTGGAAAACAAAATGAATTCTTCTGAAAATTTTAAAAAATTTAATAAAAATTTATTGCTAACTAATAAATCAAATGAGTCTAGAGAGAAAATAAAATCTCTAAGAAATGAACATATTTTATCAGTGCCTATTATTGAAAATTTAAATAATTCAGAAAAATTTTTATCAACTAAAAAATCTCATTGTTCCGAAGTGACAACATTAAATTTATTTCAAATTGTCAAAGAAGATCTTCCATGTGATGTGACAAATTCTAAAAAATCAAAAAAATATCATCGTTCAAAACATTCTTCTAGAAATAAGAAAAAAGAAAAATTGAAAAATTCAAATAATTTTAATTTATTATCAGAATTTTCATCAAAAGAATCAATAATTTCTGTTGAAAGAAAAAATTCTGATGTAAAAATGATAGTCAATGCTAATGACTCTGTAATAAGAGAAAATTTTCAAAGTGCAAAAAATAATAATAATGAGAATATAATTCAAGGAGGTGGTGATGCTGAAACAATTGTGAGGTGATTTAGTTGATTTACATTAAAATTTTTATTTTTGAATATATAGTTTGAGTCAAAATTTATCAACTGTGCAAATATTTTTTGAGTAGTCAAAATTTTTTCATGAAATTCACGTTTTTCTATATTCAAAATAGTAATTAAAAATACAAGTTTTACAGTTTTTTAAAATTTGAAGATTTATATACAAGTTATTGTTATTTACTCTAAAAATTAGAAATGAAAGTGAAAGGTCTTTGTATTTATTCCCGTTTTTTGTTTTCTTTCACTTTCCATTTATTTTTATTTATTAAAAAGAATAATTTATTGAAAATTTTTGACAGTAGATCAAAAGATTTCGTCAGCATTCTTAAAAATGAAGAATTATTGCTGAAAAATCATATTGACGATGCGAAAGATCAAATAAATCTTGGATTTTCTGTCAAACTTGAAAGTTCACGTTCTACTCCAAGTGTGAAAAGCGAAGCACATTCTGTGAATGTTACCCGATTATCGGAACTTTCAAGAAACTCAATTTGCATAAACAACAACCCAAGTCATTCGTTCAATAACTCAAATGTCGAATTTCTAAATTCTTCTCAAAGGGAAATTTCATCATCATCATCATCATCATCATCTTCTTTTTTATCTTCGCCTTCTTCTTCTTCTATTGCTACTCATAAAAATTCTGCTAATTTAATGGACAGTTTCCAGTCAAATATTGACACGAGAATAACTTGTAAATCATTTGATTTGTCAAGGCAAAAACAACCGTGTTTAATTTCAAATGACAGTGAAAATTCAATAAATATTGAACAATCGGCAAAAGAATTGGAAGAGAGATTATTGTCGAAAGATGATGATAATTTGGAAGAAGAATTAATTAGAATGACAGAAAATCTTTCTTTGAATAGCGAGAGAAATTCTCTTCGAAATGAGGAAGGCAAAGAAATTTTTAATTTTGATAAATCTCTACCGCTTACTGGGGATCCTGATATTGATGAAGAAATTATTGCATTTTATAAAGCTAAACGTGCCGGTGGTACTTATTAGAAATATGAATAAAAAATTATGTTAAGTATTTCAGGAAAGAGTTCTTTATTTATAACATCGATGCATTTCATCAAAAACTTGACTCTTTAGGACACAGAAAAAAACTGGACTCAAAATTCAAAATTTATATTTAATAATAAAAATTTACCTATTATTAAATTTTAAGAATTTAGAGATATTACACCGTCCGACACGATTTTTCATACACGAAAAAATCAATGATTTTCAGAAACTAGGACCAAAAAAAAGATACCCGTGTCTGGCCGAAGGTTTTTGGGGTTGCTGATTACGAATTTGATGTCGGCTTTTCAAAATTCAAAATGGCGGACCTAAATAGTGGTCAAAATTTATAAATGTTATTACGTTATTATTATTATGTTATTATCAGCGACCCCAAAAACCCCTAGACACCAAGTTTTATAAAAAATAATTAATATTTATAAATTTCGACCGCCATATTGGATCCGCCATTTTGAATTTTGAAAATCTGACATCATATTCGTTATCAGCGACCCGGAAAACCCCGAGATACCAGGTTTCATAAAAAATTATTTTTTTGTACAAGATTTCCTATCACCTTTCATTTAAGGGTTGTTTTTAACCCTAAAAGCAAAAAATGACCTGATCTAGCAAAACGGTTAGACACGGGTATCTTTTTTTGGTCCTAGTTTCTGAAAATCATTGATTTTTTCGTGTGTGAAACAAAAAAGTTGAATTTTGTCGGACGGTGTTATGGAACAAATAAGGGAAAATTTTGCTATTTATATTTATACAGAGTATTCAAAAAGTATGGAAACTTGTAAATATCTCAAAAAGTACGAATTTTCAAGATACTTTTTGTTGGGAACAAACTTTTATGTTAAACATTTTTCACGAAAATTCGTACTTTTCGAGATATTTGCAAGTTTCTATATACTTTTTGAACGTACCCTGTATATCATAAACTTGTTTATTATCGCAATGGTTAGTATAAAATAATAAATATATTTAAATTATCAACAATCACAAAAGGAATACAAACTTTCTCATATATAAAAAAGGTTTTCTAAATTATTTTATATTCACACTTCAATATTAAATACGAAAACAAAAATTATTCATGGTGAATCTGTAATACTGATATATTTATCGGAATATTTAACTATTTATTTCGTTTATTTTAAACACTTTAAAAATAAAATTATTATTTTGCAAATTTTTTTCGTTTTCCAAAATATTTTTCATTAACGATGATATTAATTTAACAATATGCAATATGTCTGTATTTTCAATTCCATGAATTTTATTATACACAATACCATGTTTTTGGAGAATTAAATTAGTTTTTTTGTTTTAAAATATATTAAAAATATTAATACCTAATATTTATACATTTAAAAATAATTTTTCACCTTATCAACATAAATAAACATAAAAATTTATCATTAGTAAAAATATATAACTAATACAACTTGATTTGAAATGTACAATAAATTAATTAACTTTACATCAAGTCCAGCAAATTTATATTTGTTTTCATTAAAATATGTATATATTTAAGTTCTTTTTTTTAATAAAAGAATTAAAATTAATACTAAAAATTTCAATTTTGACTAGCAAAGAAAATTGTTTTTATAAATTTACTGGATCTTTGTGTGCGATAAAATTTATATATATATACCACCATTTTTGGTGTACGTCGAAAGCAGTTTCTAAATTGGAGCTAATAAATTATAACTACAATAAAGAATATTATTTAAATAATTCTATAAAAAGAATTTACGGCACGGTTACTTTGAGGAATCGAGTTCTATCACCAGCTCTCGGTTGAAATCTTAAGTTCACCTTCTCCTTTTCATCATCTCCTACTTCCAAAAATGTATTCCAATCTACCAGAAAATAGAGACCAGTTCTTCGTCTTGTTGGTAAAACTGGATCAGGCTTTTGTGTTGTCCCTCCAAATGATTCCTCAAGTGCAGCAATATTAGCATTAGAATTTTTTGTTTCTTCAACATTTGCATTTTTTAGAGCAGTTTCAAAATCAAACGATTCGAAGAACGATCCTTTAGCTGCTGTCGTTGAACTTGTAGTTGTTGTTGGCACTGAAGTGTAAACAATATCTTGTGCAGCCGCCTGAGAGTCTAGAATTTATTATTAATATATTATATAATTAATATAAAAATATTTAATTCGATGGACTAAATTATGTTCTAAAAATCATTAGTCATAATTTACATTTTATTGAATTTTATTTGTCCTAATTAGTTTTGAGCCGAATTTTTATTTGTTCGAAATAGCATTTTGCATAATTTACATCAAAGCGCTTTTCTATATTACAGAATTTTTATATAACCGAAAATTCACTTCACAGAATATTTATTTCTTCGAATTTTTATTTGTCAGAATTTGTATTTGCTCGAATTTTCATTTAACATAATAGGCATTTTAAAGAATTTTTATTGGGTAGAATTTCATTGCATAAAATTTTCATTCAGATGAATTTTCATTTGTTCGAATTATTATTTGATATAATTTCCATATAATCGATTTTTCATACTACAGAATTTTTACTTAACCGAAAAATCATTTAATAGAATTTCTAATTGATAGAATTTTCATTTGTCCCAAATGGCAAATGGCCGAACAAACAATCGACAGAAAGATTTCGGCGCGATTTTTAAAATCAATCAATCAAAAATTATCCATAAAATTGTGATTGGTTGATTTTAAAAATCGTGCTGAAATCTTTCTTTCGATTGTTTGTTCGGCCATTTGAAAATTCGGACAAATGAAAATTCTATCATTTAGAAATTTTATTAAATGATTTTTCGGTTAAGTAAAAATTCTGTAGTATGAAAAATCGATTATATGGAAATTATATCAAATTCACTCAGAAAAAAATTCATTTGAAGCAACCAAATTTTGGTTAAATCAAAAAAATAAATGTATTGACTAATGATTTTTAGAATATAATCTTGCGTCCCAATTCGATTTGATTAAAATTTAGTTGAATCAACCAGTTTTTTTTTTTAAGTTAATCAAAAGTTTGATGAGGGGACAGCAAAACGAGTTTTTTTCCACAATATATATGTATAAAACAATTTTTTTTAAAACAAATGTTATTTTTCTATATATATATATATATATATATATATATATATATGAAATAACTATTTTTTATTTGTCTTGTCTTATCTATAAAATATAAAAATAATTAGACTTCCAATTATTTTGACGAAATGGAAAAATTCTTACAAAATTCTCACAAAACTTTCACAATATCTTTTATAGTTGATTGATTAATTTGCCTTTCACCTTAAAATTACTAACATAAAATTTATCAAGAGTGTCATATTTTTAAGTATCAAGAGACCCCCCCTTTAATTTGGCATTAAGAAAACTTCTTGAGCCATAGCCATTAATTATTATTAATCAACATGCAACTAGTACACGCAAAGTTCCATTTACACGCAATATTCTATAATGTTAAACAAAAAATTATCTAGAATATAAAAGGCAAAGAAAAAGTTCATAATGATGCAACTATGAAAATAGCAAGGCCATTTTATAAAAGTAAACAAGCGAAAAAAAAGAATTGCAGTAAAAAGAGATGATAAAATAAAAAATTATTCCCTGAAAATTCTGGAAACTTTTATAGTTCAGGAAAAAAAATTGCGTCCCAGGAAAGAAAAGTACAGCCAAAAAAACTTGTCTAAAAAAATTTTCCTTTTTCTTTTGAACATATATATTGAGTTACACAATTGTTTGATTCTTTAAGTATAAACCATTTTTGTTTTTTGGTATCCAAGCGTTCTTGAGGATCTCTGTTTACTAATTTGATGACAGTTTTCAAAATTCAAAATGGCGGATTCAAGATGGTGGATACTATTTTTAAGCGCAACACTTTTTTATACGGGGTGCGTATCAAAAGTCCCAGGATGGTTGGATATCTTTTTTTTATGGAAAAAATGTTCAATACAAAAGTTGTTCATGATAAAAAAATCTATTAAATTACATAATTTAAAATCGGGCACAAGTGCCTGTTTCCGCCCTAAGTGTAAAAAGTTCAATTTTTTAAATGGCACCGACTATTTCGAGTACCACAATTTTATTCTGGGCAATTTTCCCCATTCCAAACTTCCCAGTCGAAAATTTGGAATGGGAAGTATAATTATAATTAATATATTGTCCTAAGATTAAGATTTTTTTAATAAAGCAAATTTATATTAATTTTTTATAAACAAATTAAAAAATAAATCTAAACAGTAATATTAGTTATTTAGTCAGGTAATTAATTGAATTATTTTTGTTAGCATTTGTCAAGCATTGTTAAGTTATTAGTTTAGCAGAAAGTTTATTTCCACTAAAGGAAATTTCACTTACAAAGAGGGAGAAGATTTATAACACGAAGTTAGATATATATATATATATATAGAAAGTAGTCAGTTGAAGAAAGAGTCGATAAAATATAATTGATTTTGTTTAATGGCATTTAATAGCTGATTGCATGCTTCAGTTTACCAGCAACATTAGTAAAAAAGCTCTTGACTTTTGAAAAACCACCAATGATTTTGCCAAACCACATTTCCGACGAACCCAATGCATTAACAATAAATTTTTTAATACCACTAGAGGCAGCTGAAGAGAAGCTTAATTTTTGGTCATCTGTTGCTGTTTCCTTTATGTCATCATTTTCTTTTTTTCCTTTGTCTCCAATTTTAAATTCTTGTTCTTTATTATTTTCTTTTTCTTTACTACTTTCTTCATTGAGATTTGTATTTGTTGTATTATCATTCTGTTTCGTAATATTTGTTTCGATAATAATTTCTTTTGCATTAGTATACTTTTCTTCTCCAACAACTTTTTCTTCATTGGCAACTTCTTTTTTGACAATGTTTTCTTTTTTAACTAGTATTTCGTCTCGATTAGTATTCACTTCTTTTTCATTAGTCTGCTGTCTTTTTACTTCATTCTTTAAATCTTCCTTGTAAAGTTTGAGAATTTCTTCTAAACTCACTGGATCTGGTCCTTCTGGAAGTGATTTTGTAGATTCAAGTACCTCATCGGCAACTTTTTGAACATCATCAATAGTAGCCTTTCCTTTTTGTACTTTTTTCACTGTATTCAATAACTCATTAATTTTTGCTCTCTGTTGATCATTGAATACCGACGATTCCTGAGGTTTAAAGACATGTAATTTTGAAGGAATTGTTGTTGTTGATTGACGTGACACTTGTTTTATGTCATCATCAATTCTTGCTCTTGGTCTAATGAGACCTATATTTTCCAATATTTTTTTCATATTCATTGGTACAGCTTCAATTAAAGAGGGCACTTCTCTTGTATTCTGTCTCATTGCCCTTTGATTTCGTGCTTCACCCAAACCAAATTTTGCCAAAAAATCCCTCATCTCTTTATTGCGTACAGATGAATTTGACAGAGGTTTAAAATTTGTGTAGGAATAATAACTAGCCTGTGTGGGTTTCATTGTTGTTGTTGGTGTTGTTGTTGTAGTGGTTGTTGTTAGTGATTGAAAATCTAAATTTGTCGGCAAACCAAATTTTTTAAAAAGTTGTTGCACCGCTGGTGTTAGATTATTAACACCTTTTTGAATTTTATCAGAATTATCGAATGTATTTTGATCAGCAATAGAAACTGTATCGACACCTGCAGTTGTTAATCCAAATGTCGGATTGTAAATGACATTATTCGAGTCTGGAATTTGAAATTTTGTTTCTGTTTCTTTTTTGTCAAATACCAAATCATTGGGATTTTTCATTGGTCGGAGACCAATTGATTTTAAAAGATCCTCGATATCTGGTCTCATTGTTGAAATTGGACTAGATTCTTTTGACAATTTTTGGGAATTTTGGATTTTCATCGGTGTTACGAAAACTGCGGCAGTTTGTTCTGTTTTAGTTGTTGGTAAAGTCATTGCTTCTGATTCAAAAAATTTGAAAGCATTTGTGTTTTCTTCTTTTTGATGATAATCGTATTTAATCTCGGGTGAACTCTTAATAGTTGGGAGAAAGTATTCTTCCTTTGGAGGATATTGATATTTTTGTGTTGTTTGAGATTGAAATTGAGGTTTGGATGATGTAGGTTCAGGTGTTGTTGTTGTTGTTGTTGTTATTATTGAAGATTGAGGTTTGGAAGTTGTAGGAGGAGGATGATAATGCCATTGATCGAAGGACAAAATATGTTGAGTTGATTTTGAAATTGGCGCCTCTGTTGTAATTGAATTAGAATTGTGGACCGAATTAAATACAGAAGTAACATTTTGAGGTGAATGTGAATCTTTAGGAACCGGTCTCCAGGTGTGGGTTGATCTTTTGGTAGTTGTCAAAATTTCGCTCAATTTCTCCAAATCGAAACTGAATTTCTCCGGTTTAGAGTCTTCCAATTTTGAATCTACTTTCTCTTTATTATTAACACTGTACTGTTGGTTATTCAGTGGTGATTCATGAATTGAGCCAACAGCAGTGGGGAAAGTTGGTATAAAATTATCTGAAACTTGTTTTTTCAAAGAATTCTCATCACTTGAAATTCGATTCCTTTCTTGTTCATGAAAAACATCGTCATCTGAAAGCATTTGAATTATTGGCGGTCTTGTGTAAAGATCTTTTAAATGCTCCTCGGCACCATTTGAATTATATGGTAGAACAACCATTAAAGCTCGTTGATAATCATTTCTAGTTTTATCAAGAATTTTATAGTCGGATATCAAATCTTTTGTTGTGATATTTTGAAGAATATCGACAATATCTTTTCGTGAGAGTTTTGGTAAACTGGGATCGGCTTGAATTTTTTTTTCCACTTCTTGAATTGTTCGATTTATGGAAATTTCAATTTCTTCCCGAGTTGGAAGATGATCGAGACATCGGCCTAGGCTCACAGTGGCCAATAGGCAAAGTAATAGAAACTGAAAAAAATAAATCGATTACTTTTTGGAAAAAATTAATAAAACTTGTTTTGAAAAAAAAAATTGTTATACATAAGAAGTTTTTTTTTTTTATTGTATACAGGAAAATTAAATCATAGGTATTTTAAGTTGTAATATTGTATAACTTTTCATATAAGTTGCATGTTATTTTGAACTATTTATTATTATTTAATCGCAGTAGAAATTGTTTTACATATATGTGGTTATATTAGTTTTTATTATTTTTTACATGAATTATTTGCAATAAACGGAAGTTTTAATAGAAGTTAAAAGTATTTCGTGAATTCTCTTTTTTTACTCATAGCTTTCACATCATAAATAAATGAATTTATAGAAAGTTATTTTATAAAGAACTATTGAAAGAAAATTATATTATTATTTGAAAAATGTAGTTGCTTTTTGAGAAAAAAAATTATTTTTCACAAAGAAGACACAATAACAAATTTTTAATTAGTAACGCAAGATTCTGTTAAAGTAGAACATATTAATATTTAGTTTTTTTTTTTAGAATTTTTTAAGGTCAGCAAATGTTTACCTTGTGCAACTCGGTACAGTTCATTAAGATTATTTTAATATATAAGAGATTCTGTTTAAAATTTCCATATTCATAGATCTTCATTAGCTTATAGAAGATCCTTGACTTGATATCTGACCGGTATTGAGAAAGTCGAGAATTTATTTTTAAAAAAATGCAATACGACAACACTCATCGTAATTCTAAACATAGTTTATATTATGCATGTGCTTATTACAGTGCCAATAATCTCTTTCTCTTCTATTTAACATATAGTTTTGCACCTGTTGCATCACATTTGAATTTCCGTTATTTTATATTCTACGTATATTCTTTTCCCGTTTTCTTTTAAATGCGGTCTTTGAACTTAAGAAATACACTTTTTTTTTTTACAAATATATAAAGAGAAATTTGCATCCAAACTAAGCAAACTGGTAAAAATACGGTATATCGCAACGTGTGTAATGTTTGTGATTAGTTTATTTAACACAAACATTTGCTTTCTCATTATTTCACATACACAAAATGTTTCTTTACGTTTTTAGTGTATAAAGGGAACAAATTTCCGGTATTTTAACTTTTTTCTTTTTTTTGGTAATATTTATAAAATTTTTATTATTAATTAAATGATAATAATGAAATATTTTTTATGCCTTTTGAATAATTGCAATCAAATTATTTTATTAATTAACTAATAAATAATTTACACAACTAATTAATCGGAAAAATTTTGATTGGAATTCTTTTTTTTTATAATATTGAAATTCTTGACTTTGGAGATATGTAAAAAGATTTTTATGTAATTCTGTCGAGTGAAGTTGCATATCTATGACAATAGTATACATCTATTGGACGCGGCTAATGATTCTGAAGATGATAGTAGAAAATGAAAGTGGCTTTCATCGTCAGTGAACGTGACCCTTTTGCAGAGTAGATTTAATGATATGTATAAAATAATTCATCGAAAGGAAAATGATAATTTCATGTATCCGTGAAGGTTGTGCATGGGTCATCGAACATTGTATTGTCATAGTCATTAATGTAGTGCAACTCGATTGAAATATAATTTTTCGGTTGAACGATCGTTCAGCGCCTTTCACAAAAATATTCCGTCACTATATAATATCGTAAAGTTGACAACTATTTTATCTCAATTTCATCTCAAATTGAAATTCATTACTCGATTTTTATAAAATAAAAAAAGATAATATTCTATAACTTAGTTATTAAATTAAATTTTAAAAATTTGTTTTTTTAATGATATATTAATAATATTTTTTATTATAATTAAAATTTTTATTTATTCTCTTTTGATTATTAATAGTTTATAATTTTTTTTTGCTAATTAGAAATTTAATAATTTATTTTTGATTTATCTAATTGTGATGAAGAAAATGAAAAGATTTAATTATTATTTGAGGTAAGAATGATTACACAAAAGATTACTAATTATTGTAAGTAACGCACTAATTACTCAACATACATAATGCTGGTTGCACGTTCTTCTTAACAAGTCAACTTGGTATAGAACAAATTATTAATCTGATGTAATTAAAAGCAAAACATTCTCGAAATTTCATATCTTCATTGTTTCATCTTCGTTTCCTTGCGATAAAATTAAACTAATATTACAAATAATTATTATTACAAAATAATTGTTTAATGATAATTGACTAATTGTTTAAAAAAAAGTTTGCATATCGTGAGACAAATTTTCTCGAATGAAATATACATGTTTTTTGAACGAATTTTTTTAGAAACTTACCCCCATTTTAATAATTTCTGCTAAGATTTTTTTTCTTTCTTTTTTTTTTAATGAAATTTAGTAAACACTTGCACAATTTGAAAACTCACCATCACGCCGGGGTCGGGCAATCGCCTGACGACGAAGTCGACAACTGACTGAACGATGAAGGCCTACTTTCAAACTCTCTCTCTATCTTACCCAGGTTTGAATCTCTTGTCCCAGCTATATGTACGGCTGATCGAAGTAATTAATTCTACTATGTTTTTTTTTTTTTTTATTTGCGATTCAATGTTCTAGCACAAATGCTGTACATTTTTCGAAAGAAGATATATGTATACGTGGTTTATATCAATATATTTTGAAAAAGTTATGTCCCTCTATAATGTGAAATGCTACTTTCCTCCCTCGACTGCACGATCTTGAGATCGAAAGGTAATGTATTTTCCAAGTTCAAGGAAAAGGAAAGTTCACCTTAGTCGCGGGAATCGGGTCGTGGGGAATACCTTACATGTAGCATGTGTTAGATAAAATCTGCTCATCGCAAAATTAATCGCAACCTCTGTGTAAATTCCACATTAACCACGACGCGATTAATTTAAACTAATATTACATCAACAATTTCAAAGATATAATAATATGTTAATTTTGTCGCGAAATTTATTCTTAAAATATTAAATGAATCGATTTAAAATTTTGTAGAAGTGTCTAAAGTATATATAGGATGAAAAACGACTGTTGTATGCGAAAATTGTGATATTTTGTAGAATTAATTATTATAATATATACTTTGGATTTTTTTTTTTTAGAAAATGTGAGGTTAGATGTGAAGTTACTGTTAAGTATTTTATAATAATTAATTCAACAAATTATCCCGAGATCCATTTAATATTTTAAGAGTAAAGTTACCGACAAAATTAATATTGTAATTATGAGATTTTTTTAAAAATAAGAATAGAAAAGTTTCAGTTTTTCTTCGACTTTTGAATAATATTAAAAAAATTTTTTTTTTTTAATTTGGATACTGTCTAAATTTGAGTCAGTGATATTTCACTAATGAAATAGTTGGAATTTATCATCTGAATCACTTTAGTAAAATTTGCCGAGAAAAATTTAGTCATTACAGATAGCACATAAGCTTACGGCAACCTTGCGTCAAGCTTGTCGTGCAATATTGCCAACCTTGTACGGCAAAATTGCCGCAAGCTTCAAATGTCCCACCTGACCCAAGCTAACATGGTAAACTTACCGAAAGATTACAGTGTAAGTTTGCTGAAAGATTGCACAATAAGATTATCGCAAGATTGCTCAGTAAGCTTGCACGGTAAGCTTGTAGCAAGGTTGGTGCATGGTTGCCAAATAACGTTGCTTTGAACATTAACATTTTTTTTTTTAATGTTTCGTTTAATTTATATAATTTTAATATTTTATCATATAAATTTTATTATATAAATTAGATAAAACATTTTTAAAAAATTTTAGGTTTAAAGCAAGATTATTTGGCAACCTTGCACTAACCTTGCTACAAGCTTACCTTGCAAACTTACTGAGCAATCTTGCGATAATCTTATTGTGCAATCTTGCAGCAACTTTACACTGCAATCTTTCGGTAAGCTTACTATGCAAACTATGGTCAGGTGGAACATTTGAAGCTTGCCGCAAGATTGCTGCAAGCTTACGTGCTATCTGGTATATTTCACTGAAAATTAGTAGAATTTTTTACTTGATTGAAACAGTCAAACATCTTTTATCTATCAATGATAATGCAGATTTGACTGTATAAATCAGTCATAATTCTACTGATTTTCAGTTTCTAATTTTTCAAGTAAAAATTAAAAGTATTTTTTTCCTTTTTTGAGAAATAATTCCATCTAATATTGATTGAATGTCCATTATTTTTGAAAATTTTTTCTAATGTTGAAGAATAATTTTTGTTTTTTGTGAAAATTGCATTTTTCCTCCTTTTTCGAATATATTTCCTACTAATATTCGTGAAAAGTTCATTATTTTCGGATATTTTTCCAAAACGTAAAATTTAATTTCCGTGTTTCGTGGAAAAACTATTTTTCCCTCTTGTTTTGGAAATTTTTCCTACTAAACAGTTGGAAAACCTGTTGTCCTCTTCATTTCAGAAAAATTCCCTATATTATTTCATGAGAAAAAATTTCGAAATTTTTCACAGTGTAGGATAGAAAAAAAATTTTATAGCAATGACTTTTGAAATTAATAGTGATTAAAAAAAAATTTAATATAATTAATTTTTTGTAGTAAAATTAATTCTATTTAGAAAAATCATTTTTAAAGAAATTTACCTCTTGGTATAAGAGGTAAAGTAGTTCTTCGTTTTATTTATTCTATATAAGGTATAGAAACTAGAATGTTTCTTTTTTAACTCCAGTCGGTAACGAATTGCAACTGTTAGCAGTTGGTAACATTTATTTAACTTATCATCAGAAGATATATATACATATCGTCTAGATTTGTTTATCATGAAAAAAATTACCAACTTTTATTGCCTTTTTAAATTCTTTAAAAGATGTCACTTTTCCAATTTTCTCATCGCGCTACAATATAAATTTAATAATTTAACACTTATTTAAACAATAATTAAATATTTAAATTTGAGTTAAAGTATAATTAATTTTATAATCATTTATTTATAATAATTATAATATTTATATTTAATAATTATAAAAAAATGATTATTCTTAAAAATTATACTAAATAAATTGAATAATATAATTTATTTACCTAAATAAAATAATTGTTCCTGGCACATTTTAATAATGATTTTATTATTAAAAGCTTATTCTCTTGTTATTAAAAAAAATTTGTCTTTTACTGTAATTTAATTTATTATTATATATTAAAGAAATAAAAAATTGCCTGTGTTTGGAAAATAAGTAATTTTAATTTAAAAAAAAAAAATTAGAATTTCTAATAGATAATCATTAAATTTTACAATATTTTCAAATTAATTCTTTTCTTTTTTAACTATATATAAAATTAATGTCAAACTGTTTGTAAGATGTTAAGAATTTTTCTATGACCTTTTTCACTTAATGAATCATCTTCAAGCCATCATGATACATAACTAACCAGTTTTTTGTTACGGAGCTGCGTAAATATTTCAGCCAACAACTTTTTCATTGACAATTTTAAGACAATATTTTTTATAAAAAAAATCAAGGATAATATTATCCACATTCTAGTAATTTTTGTTATTTTTTTATTAATGTATAAATAAGTAACTATTAATGGTTATTAATGTTTTTTTTTTCAAAGAAGAAGAAGAAGAAAAAGAAGAATTCGAAACACAATCAGAACAAAAGTAAATCAAACTCCATATTTTGATATTTTTAAATAGAATATAATTTGTAATTAAAATGTGTTCATTAAAATAATTTTTAATTATTCTCTTTTTATTTTAAAAATACGGAATTCGACTAACTTTTAATTTGACTTTCCGTCCAATTCCTCCTTAAAAGAAATTTTCCTATTTCAATCTTTGCGAATTCATAATTATATAATTTGTTTTGAAAGTAAATCACGGATACAAAAATATTGAAATATAATTACCAGAGCCAGAATGAAAAAAAAAAATTAATTCTTAGTGAAATAATGATCCAAATATGAGGAATTAAATTTAGTTTCAAAATGAGAACGGAAATAAAATCAAATTAAAATGATTAGAAGTATTTAATTAATTAATGCAATTTTTTTTTTAAAATAATAATTTATAATAGTTAACAATTTGAAATTTCTCCTCGGTCGATAAGCGTTTCATTTTATCGGCGAGAAAGTCACGAAAGAGTGAATTTTCCTGTAGCGCGCCCTGCTTTTAAATGAATTCCCATAAGATAATCTGTATTGCAACACTCGTTTTTAACTAGTGGGGGAACTTTACTCTCACTATTCAGACAGTACAGGTATACCATAATATCTCTTGTGTATATTCATTCGATTCAAACGCGTTTAGTTACTATAATCAAGAAGCCTTTAACTTTTTTTTTTGTTTTTTTTTTTTGTTTTTAAATAAAAAATTCCATTTAATATTTATTAAAACAGTGCATTTAAAAATTAAAAATGACCATGGATAATATAATGGATAAAATGCATCGTTCAAAAATGAAGGAATTTGATTGGAGAATTCATGTCGCATGTGATGAAGATATCATGCCAAGCGCTGCACAAATTCCTGGAAGTAAGTTCAATTCTTTCTTCTTTCTAATTTTGCATACCAACAACTTTCTTTTCGTAGACACTTTTTTTTAATTCAATAATAAATTATGTTTTTTTTTTAAAAAAAATTCATTTATTTAATTATTATATTTTATAAATAATAATGTATATATATATAAAATTAATTCTATAGAATTTAGGGGCTGAAAAATTGCAAAAACAAAACAAACAGTGGCTTTTCTTAATGCACATACTACTACATAAAACTTTTTTTAAATTTAATTTTTAAATATTATTTACTTAAAGAATTTAAATTTATTTAATACCTACATAATGCGAAATGCATTAATAATAAAATGATAATAATAAATAGTTAAAGCAACTTAATTTCACTTATATATAATAACTGTAATAATATATAATATAATATTAAATAATTTAATAATAATAATAATAATGTTATAATAATATATAACTTTATATTAATATAAAACTTATAAAAAATTTAATTTGTTTTTTAAAACTGTAATGGAGAATTTATATGTTAATCGATTGTTTAAATAACTAAAATAGGGAATTTTATTTTTTTTAGATAGCATCTAGGGTAAATATAGATTTAATTTAAATATCTGATAAATACCATCAAACTATAAGTTGACAGATAATTAACAAAAAAAAAAAAAAAAAAGGCGACGAGACATCGAAACCATATTTAAAACAGGTTTTAAATATCAAATATATTATTGATGTAAATTGATCATAAAGACATTTATGATATTAATTATTTATTTATTTACATTATTTTATTATATTTATACATTATTTTTTTATAAGTGCATAAAGAGTTGCTAAACAAAAAAAAATATTTTGTGACCCACTAAAGGATACTAAAACCGCACTAAAAATTGAAGATTCCCTTATATTATACAATTGAATTTTGATTTTAAGTCACATTTAGACAACTTTTCTTTTCACATTCTATTTTCGGCAGTAGTGTCCTCTTTCTTTTTTTTATTTTTTTTATCGAAATTCTCACCATTTTACTTTCTACATCTCTGATGACAAAAAAAAAATTATGCACCTGTTTAAAAATTTTGTCCAACACAAAATAGGAGACTTCCGTTGATAATCAAAAAGACATTTTCTAAATTGTCCACATGTATTCTTATAAAAAGTTCTCACACTTAAAGAACAATTTTTTAACATTTTAGTAAAAAAAAAAAAGCAATTCAGGTAGTATTATTAGTAGAGCCTAATTATTATTAGGGGTTTTTTTCACAATCTTTTTCATATAATCCATAAGTGCTTATTAAGAATTAAATTACATGGTTTCTAATTGCAACTCTGATTAAAATATTATTATCTATCTATACCCTTGATTGTTTTTTAGTTATACACAAAATATATCACTGTGTAAATATATATATAATTTGATACAATTTCCTACTTTTTTATTTAAAATTCGACATCATTAATATATGTTTTTCTTGAAGAAAATTTTTTTCTTTTTTGTTTCCAATCTAGGGTTTAGTTTTTTTCTCCCCTTTTTTTCACAGAATGTGTTCACAAAAAAAGTTCTTTCAAATTAGTGGTGCATTAAGAACGATTCATAATTGATGAGACTGAAATTTGAGGATAATTTTGATAAAAAAAAATATAACAGGAGAAAATAAAATGATATATATATATATGTGTGTGTGTGTGTGTGTGAGACGATATTCAACGAAGCCTACAAATTGTGTACTCGTGTGCTGGTGAAAGTTTCGCACGAAAAGCATTACCAGTCACGGCATATTGACTATATAGATATATGGACACGAAGCGCCATTTAAGAATGATTTGAAAGATTTTACTTTTAATTATGTTGTGGAAAATCTAGAGCAAAAAAATGACGATTAAACTCTTGTTTATTGTATATTCTTGATAAACACGCATCATAAATTTAATTAGGAAATTTCTTAATTGGAAAATTATTATTATTTTCTTAATTGAAAAAGAAATTTTATTAAATTTATAAAAAAAAAAAGAAAAATGTAAATTAATTTTTAAAACATTAAAATAAAATGAAATTAATTAAAAAAATTATAAATTTAAAGTAAATTATATTTAAATGTAATTAAATTTAAAAAAAAAATTAATTAGAAATTACCTTTTTTTTAATTGACTTACATATTTTAATAAAATCTTCGGGGTGAAATAAATATCTAATTTTCTTATTACTACTGTTACAGGTTTAGGATCTTTTGGTATTGGATTAATAGTCATTTCTACATTGTTAACAATAGTTACACTATATCTATCAATTGATGCTATTTATAAAATATTTTTCCAAAATCAGACGAGGTCATATAAAAAAAATAGTGCTATTATACTTTCTGTATATCCAATTGCAAGTATTTGCAGTTTACTTGCAATAGCTATTCCCAGGTGGGTTAGAAAAATTAAAATTTTTAAATCTTTTTTTTTATTAAAATTAAAAATTATATATTTCGAAATATTTATAAAATGAGAGAAAAATATTTTATTTTACTTTGAAAGTTAGTAAAACTTTATATATATATATATATATATATATATGATAATTTTCACTGAAATGGTCAAGATATGGAAGAAAAAAAAATGAAATATATTCATTGTTTCATGGTTCACAGGAGATAAAAAGAAAAAAATTTAATAAAAAACCATAACTTAAGGAAAATTATTATATATGTAATATACATATTTTTCCAACTGTAACATTTGCAATGATATCTAATCTGAACTATTTTGAAAAATATTCTGTCACACACTGAATGAAAAAACCATTTATCTTATTTATTCTTTTTATTGGAAAAACATATACTTGATGATTGTAAAAATAGCAATTAATTTTTATTATTTAAAAGAGTAATAATTAATGAGCTTCAAACAATATATTCAATTTATTCATAATTAAAAAAGCATTTTAGATTTTTATAAAAAAATTTTAAATGAAAATAAAAATGCATTTAAAAAAATGGAAATTGATTGATTCGGATAGAAATCTTTTAGATAAGGCATATATATATATATAAATTATAATAAAAGAGAAAAAAACCCATTTTTTCAACTTTTTTTCTTTATTACATTAATTTTATTTTATTATTTTTCTGAGAACATCAGTGTTTTAATATTCTAATCTTTCAATCTGTGGTTTAGAAGTCAACACAAGAAATTTTTCTATAATTAATGTCCACTTTTTTTGTTTTCTTCTTTTTTTTTTTTTTTTTTTGTAGGGCTCAGGTGCTGTCAGAGGCTTTGACTCAAATCACCTTAACGATCGCGTTATACAGTCTGTATCTCGTTCTAATCGACGTTGGTCGACGAAAGATCACGAAGGCACCACCATTAATGCTAAATGTCTTGCCATGTTGCTGCTGGCCCTGTCTGCCCTTTCCAATTCTTCAGATGACCGAAACTAATTTGTCCTGGCTTCGAATTTTTGTCCTGCAACTTCCTATCGTTCAGGTAGACTCTATTTCCTTTTCTTTCTTTAGATTTTTTTTTACTCGACAAATTCTTCACAGCTCATGTCTATTAATATACTTTTCGAAATTTCATTTCCCATTTTTGGTCCACGCAGTGTCCAGTACGTCCCCAAAGACGTAACAAGATGAATTATATTGTATTTTTTCCACGTAGTTTATGTCAGGTAGATATATTGTCCTCCTGACCAAACAGGTACCATTACAAAAGGCAAAACACTTCTTGAGATGCTTTCAAGTACCAGAATTTATGAACTGAACTGCAGTTTCCGGTTCTCTATCTTTTTTTTTTTGGATGTATTTGATTTGTATTCAAAAATAATTCCTACTGGAGTATTGTGTAAATTTGAGTTAGATATAATGCTATGATAAATTTGAACCAGTTTATATTTATTTTTTAGAATTACATTTATTTTTCTAATATTACAAGTTGTAACATTTTTAAAGCCTTAGAAGATTTTTAATGACATATTATAATTGAATTTTAATCTAATCTTTACTGTATTTCAGAAAAATAATTTTTAAAATTAAATTTTCTCGTCTAACATCGAGAAAGAAGAATTTCTTTGATATAGAGTCAAAGAAATGTTTAATTTAATTTAAAGAAAATTTATTTGATTTAACCCTCCTACGGTTTAATTAAATTGCAGAAATCGATACAAAAATGGTTTATTTAATCCTGCATAGAAAATTTTATATTCCAACATTGGTTAATAGTCTTTGGGGACGCTGATTACTAATCCAAGGTTCGTTTTTGAAAATTCAAAATGGCGGATTCAATATGGCGGATATTTATGGATTTTTTTTATTTTTCGGATTCGTTTGAAAATTGTTACTCGGGGGTTTTCAAGGTCGCTGATCACGAATATGATGTCAGTTTTTAAAAATTCAAAATGGCGGGTCCAATATGGCGGACATTTTTGAAAAATCTTGATTCGTGATCAGCGACCCAGAAAACCCCAGTGTAACAATTTTCGTAAGCTGACTTTATAAAATTTCTGATTAAATGCACATTATTGTTTTATTAAGAAACTCACTTTTTTAACTAGCATTAAAAGTTATGTAACTTTGTTAAAAAATTTTTTTATCGTTACTATCATATATTTTTGAAATGCCTAGACCATCACCTTCAATTTGCATTTTGGATCATGTAAATCTGTTGTTTTGTTTAGAAGATACAAATTAAAACAAATAAATTTTCTTTAAATTAAAGAAAACTTTTCTTAGATACCAAAGAAATATGTAGGGGAGAGTGACAAACAGTGGGACACTTTTTTTTCAAAGACATATTAATATGTCAATTTTATATATTTTTGGACACTTTTTGCTATTGCCATAAAGTTTGAACTCTTTTCTACATAATGCATATATTCTATTTAAATTATATTGTGATTAAATAGAAAAATTTCAAGTTTTTGGAACTTGATACATTTTTTTTTGTTTTGAAGGTTACAGTGTGACACCTATAATTAAATAATGAATAATAATTGTTTCTATTATAATATTCTGCTTCATACTTTGTAAATATATATGTTTTGCATTAAATAACGTTAACAAATGTTGCAAAACACAATTTTACAAAATTTTACTTTTTTATAATACCTACAATGTAAAGTTTCATATGAAAAATTGCTATTATTTTTTTTTTACATTTACAGTACTGCTGTTCATACGTCATAATTTTGTCATAATCTAAAAACAATTTGGAGAAAAATTTGAATAGTCGTTCTCTCATCAAGTGTTACTTTTAAAATGTGTCCCACTGTTTGTCACTCTCCCCTACATACTTCTTTGATTCAAGGAAACATTTTTCTGAGAGAATAATGAAAACCTATCTTTTAAAGACTTTATATCCGTAGGAATGCAAACCTCCAGAAAAAAATGTTCAATTGACGTGTTTAAAAATTAAAAATACCAATTTTTCAAGAACAAAATTTAAAACTTACAAAAATTATTTATTTATACGATCAAAATGATTAAAAATTTTTTTTTGTATAAATAAATAATTTTTGTTAGTTTTAAATTTTGTTCTTGAAAATTGGTATTGGTTCATTCAGCGGATATTATTAATATTTTAATTTATTAAATGTCAATTAAATATTTTTTTCTAGAGGTTTACATTCCCAGGTATATGAAAGTCTTTAATTAAGGGAAAATTTTTCTAAATTTCTTGCCTCAAAAGAAAATAATTGGACAAATATATACAATAGATAAAATATGGATCTATAAAAAATAAATCTATATAAGGAAAAAATATATATATAATAAATATAAGAAAAATTTCTATTAACATTTTTTTTTTTTTTTTTTTTAATTGAATTATTGAATTTGAATTAAATATTACAGACTTTGGTCTACGTAATTACTCTTTTCATGGCAATGGAGGAAGCAATTCTTGTGACAAGATATAGTGCTTTTTTGCAAACATTTGCCGTAATTAGTATACTTCTGGGAATATATGGACTGACCATTACCACTAGGAGTCTGGAGGAAGTAGCCCCAGGTGAGGAACTTTCTCTGGAAATTGAACAAAGACCTTACTTATTTTACCGCAATATTGCTATGCCACACGATTCGTCCACCAGAAAAACCACAGTCGTATAAATTTGTTACAAAAGAATCGCCCCGCAGTATGATTTCAAACCTGTAAAACTAGCGTGAACCAAATATTTCAGAATTTTAAGAACACCCGTGGTTACTCGGTTTAACGTATTTTTTTTTTCACCCAAGTTTATGTTACCGAAAAATCTGCCAACTTTCAAAAATTCTTCTTTTCTTCGAGAAACAAAAAAAAAAAGAAAAAAAAAAATTCGAAAGTTCGGAAATGTTAAATTATTTGTCTGCTTCTTTCATTTGAAAAGAATACAAAAAATTATCTGTAGAGATAAGAATTTTTTTTTTTTTAAATATTTCACTATTTAAAAAAAAATGTTACATGAAAACAAATTCAAAATTTTTTTTCAAAATATATTTACTATATATTAATTTAATATAAATATATTTGTCAAATATTTATTGTATTATTCAGCTAAAAAAAATATTTTATTGACTCAAACTAAATACACTCTCGAAACTGCTGTTATTTTTGAAAAAAAAATTCTGCATCTTTTGTTAAAGATGAAAACATATTTACAAAATGTCTATAACCATAAAATCAATTTAAAAAAAAAAAGTTTTTTTTTCTATTCTATATATATAATAACTTTTATGAAGCGAATGATAGCGAGGGTTAATTTTTCTTTTCGGTGGATACACATTTTCGAAATGGATACCGGTTAAATAAATGTTTGCTTTCAGGGACCGCCCTTTGATTTAAAAACCACATGTTAAAAGCATCATATAAATACTGAAAGGAACAGAATTTTAAAACTATTAAAGCGAAAAATGTATTTCGAGAATTTTCTGGTGGAAATCTCTTTTGTTCCCTCTTTTGAAATTGTTAATGAAACACATATTGTGAACGCCTTTTTTTTTGACCTGCGTTAATTTTTCGTGTATACATTATATATAGGAACCAACCTGAGACGTAAGACTGTGGTAACTCAGATGGTTTTGCTGTTTTCCAAGCTGCAGGGATTTATCATCAAAAGCGTAGCAAATTGGACGTCACTCTTTCCTTGTAACCCACCTCTTTCACCAAACGCCTACGCCAGTGGTAATTATTTTATATTTACAATTATTTATTTAAAAAAAAATATATATTCTCATGCTTCACGCTTTTCGCTGGTTATTATTCATTTCCGCGCTTATTTAACACACAATGGACAAGTGCATTATTTGATTCATAACTTTATATATTTTCTAAATTTTAAATTATTTTTCGACAAAATTTTATATTTCAATATATTTATTAGCCGATAAAATCGGAGATAAAGAGTGACTAATCTACTATTTTTTAGACCACTTTTTGGGCCCTCGAATTTCGCATTTGTCCAAAGTGCTTTATATTTGAGGGACAATAATTGGATTAACGTTTAAGTTTGAGCATAAACTTTGTTTTAAAGGATACAGCGAGGGGATATTCACTGAAGGAAATCGTGATTTCTTGATTTTAGCATTAATAAAACATTTAGGAAATCTCGGGAAATCCCGGCTGAAATCGTGAATTTCGTTCTTTTAACTGCGCAACCGATATTTGGCGAATGAACCCGAGCAATTCCGAAGTATTATTGAGAGTTTATTGACAACAAATCTTACTTTATATTTGTATTATAATTTGTATTGATATTATTTTTTTTTGTTATTTATTATATTGATATATCCTAGGATCTATCGTAAATAAAAAATATTTAATTTCTTTAACATACCGTTAACAAAAAGTTTTTAAATTAACTTAAAATTACGTAAATATATAGATATTACTTTTTGAGGTTATGTTGTATTTCTTGTCAAATTTTCTAACATAAAAATAAGACAGTTATGTATAAAAACGAAGCACTAAAGTTATTTTCACTTATTAGAAAATGAATTTTTGTATTATAATTACCCTATCAAAATAACGTGCCCCAAACGTGTTTTCAAACCGAATCTGTTTTGTAGAGCACTTTTAGAGCCTTATTAAAAAAAGAAACTGAAGTACGCCACGTTTATGATAAACGATTTTTATTTATTTATATGTACATTCCCCGCGGACATTCTTATTAAAGAAATAATTTTTTAAAATGAAAAATTCTATAATTTTTTTCCCAAAAAATATTTTGTGTAGTTTTTAATAATCAACAAATTATAAAAAAAATATTTTTTTAGGTAAACAATTTCATAATTTAACGTGTTAAATAAAATATAATTTCTAAACGTTTATCATAAACGTTGCGTATTTCAGCATCGTATTAAAAAAAAACAAAAATAATAAAAATAAATAAAAAACTTCAAAAAAATTCGTTTGGAAATATGCAGTTTTAAAAAACTCATGGTGCTTTGTTTTGACATATTTAAAACACTCACAATCATGAATGGTCGTTTAAAATCCGATTTTTACTTAAATACATATAGGCAGTCACTGGAAATCTCTGATAATTCTGACGTCAAATTCAAATTTATTTTCGACGTCAGAATCAAATCAAATTACATAATCGACACCCAGAGTTGAAAAAGGGTTAAAAAAGAGTTAAAAAGTAGTTAAAATTGATTAAAATATAATAATTAATATAGGCTCAGATTCGCTTGAAATTTACTACTCAGGGGTTTTTGGGGCCGCTTATTACGAATCTAGCGTTAGTTTTCAAAAATTCAAAATATCAGACAAAATTTCTAAAAATCGCTCACATACGGTTCTAACTTGTAACTTGAGGGTTTTTGAGATCGCTGATTACGATTCTGGTGTTAATTTTTCAAAATTCAAAATGTCGGATCCAAAATGGCGGAAATGATTTCTTAAAATCGACTAGATTAACTTGAAACTTGTTGCTCGGGGGTTTATGGGATCGCTGATTATGAATTTGGTTTGTTTTTTTTACTATAAAAACCTATAAGGTCAAAGTGGTATTCTCAAAAGTTTAAGAGATACAAATTTTTGAACGTAAGACTTACATAAGATAATGGTTTTTTGGGTCAAATTAATAACAACTTTAAAATTCCTACTGCACGGTTCGCCGTATTGGATCGGTTATTTTGAATTTTGTAAATTTTGAAAATCTGATTACATATTAGTAATCAGCGATCTTGAAAACCTCCATGTAACAGTTTTTCAGAAGAATCTGATTAATTTTTAATTTTTTCAGTTGCCATTTTGGATCCGCCATTTTGAATTTTTTAAAATTGATACCAAATTCGTAATCAGCGACCTAAAAAACTCTCGAGTAACAAGTTTCAAGCGGATCTGAGCGTGTTTTAATTGTTATATTTTAAGAATTTTAACCACTTTTTAACCCTTTTTTAACACTATATCTTAAAAAAACAAAGGTTATGTTCAACTCTAAATGTTTATGGAATTATTGTCCCTCAATATAAAGCACTTTGGACTATGTTTAAATGCGAAATTTGAGGGCAAAAAAATATACGTTCACTAAATAATTATAAGTTTGCATTCACGTGAAGCAATAAAATTAAAGAAACAAAAAAAAAAAAAAACACAAAGGAACAAAAACTCGATTGTCTTTTACCTTCTGAGAAGCAACTATACAATGCTTAGGAGAGAACAATCTTTAACCACTTAAGAATCTTAAAATCTAACTATACGAAAACGTATTACCTTTTGACACTCAATATAATATCTAGAGAATATAAAAGGGAACAAAAACATTTTAGTTGGAAATTGTTGACAGGCACGTGTCGCAAAATGTGACATGCATGAGTAAAAATTTGATTGAATAGATGTCTCTTTAGGAAGAAAAAAAAAAAAAGAAAAAAAATTCTATCGTTACACCTTTTCAGTTACTTATAACGCACTGATGGTAATCGAAATGTTGATGCTTTGCTACGCGGCTCGACTGATATACATCGAGGACGAGGAGAAAGATGATGATGCCTCTACGACAGATCGTACCAAAGATAATAATCCAGGACTGGTGGGTGTGACGAACAACAACGACCAACTTCCTGTACAACTAGCTGCTTCCACTGCTTAAGGCCCTTATCCCTATATTTATATACGAAAAGGGAATATATTCAATTTTTTTTTTTATCGTTATCGAATGGAAATGATGATGGAATTCATCAATTCATAAAGAAACCCAAGTCGAGGACACATACATGACATAGGGAAGCGAGAGAGACGTTTTGCGTGGGTATATATTGTATACCTGAATAAATTCTCCTTCATCTGATGAAAACCTTTCTTTTCGTCAACAATTATCTTCGACCCTGCTGAATTCATTAAAATATAGTACTCGTGGAGAGAACAAAATTAGATATGGTTTTTTTTTTTGTCAAAGGGTCACGCCTCACTGAAATATTGTTTAAATTTTAGACAATAATCCTTTATTTAAACATTTGTTATCATTTTTTTTTTTTTGTTAAAATAATGTTTTTTTAATTTTGTAAATTAAGGAGGGTGGCGGGTCAACATAATCTCAAAAAACCGTCAAAGTTAAAAAATTGTTTTTAACGCAAACAAAAATATAATAAATATTAATTTCAACCAATTTTAGAAGATCTAGATTTACTCCTTTCGAAAAAAGTTATTTTTTTCCAAAATATTTTTTCAATAATTATTTTTTTAACATTTAGTTTTTTTTTCTTTTAAATCAGACAAAAATTGCAATTTTTAACCAATTTTAATAAACAAAAGCTCATTTTACTAAGTGAAACATTCTCTACAATTGTTACCTTTTTTATATTATAAGTATGTTCTTAAAAAGTTATAAACAATTAAAATTTTATTTATTAAATAACTTTTTAAGAACATACTTATAATATAAAAAAGGTAACAATTGTAGAGAATGTTTCACTTAGTAAAATGAGCTTTTGTTTATTAAAATTGGTTAAAAATTGCAATTTTTGTCTGATTTAAAAGAAAAAAAAACTAAATGTTAAAAAAATAATTATTGAAAAAATATTTTGGAAAAAAATCATTTTTCTCGAAAGGAGTAAATCTAGATCTTCTAAAATTGGTTGAAATTAATATTTATTATATTTTTGTTTGCGTTAAAAACAATTTTTTAATTTTGTCAGGTTTTTGAGGTTATGTTGACCCGCCACACTCCTTAAATTTTGATTAAAAATTGTCTTCATTTTTTTTTAAAATTAATAAATATTAAACAAATTTTGAAAAATTTTCACTTAACTTTTCCTAACTTACTTGTTAAATTTCTTATTTCTTATTTTCTTACTTAATGATCACTGAAATCATTTTTTTTTTTGGTATTTAAATTTTTTTAATTTTTTCATAAAGTTATGAAAGTTAATTTAATGTTTTATTGGAAAAGTTTTTCTTCTATGTTAATTTATTGATTCACTATTAAATTATTTAATAAGAAAATTTGTTTAATTAAGAAATTTTTTGTTAATGATCCTTTAAAAAATATACTTTCGATGACAATTTTTTTTTTTTTTTTTTTTTTTTGAAAAATAATATAATAATTTTTATAAAAGTTATAAGAATTTAAAATTAGAGTTCCTTTTGAAAAATATGTTCAGTGATATGTGACAACGAAAAAAAAAATGTTGCTCAAAAAAGAAATTATTATATACATAGTCTTAATTTAAGCAAATAACAATTATTTATTATCAATCTGTTATTTTAATAATAAACATAAAACACTTTTATTTTTTTCTATTATTAAAATGACACACTACTTGTAAATAGTTATTTAAAAAATACCACTATTCGCACTTATTTTTTTTTTATTTTATAATATTCTTTGTATGCAAATAATGTTAAAGGAATTTTATTTTATAAAATGTAATAAAATTTCGAAATAAAATAAAATTTTGTTAATAAAATTAAATAAAAATGATTTTACCCTTACAATCTTTAAGTAAAGGAACTAAAATCTCTAAAAAATTCAAATTTTATTTTTATTCCTCTATTTTTAATTTCTGCAGTAAAGTACAAAGTGAAAGACTTTAAAATCGTTTTTTTTTTACTTTTTAAATCAAAATGTATTTTCGTTTGTTTTTCAATGAGTGTAATAAAGGAATTTTTTTTATTAAAAAAAAGTCAAAGTTTTTGCAAATTCTTCTTATTATATCAAGATATGTCTTTAAAAGAAATTTTTTAATCACGATCCGAAAGCAAAAAAAAAATTATATGTTAATCTGTTTATAAAACACTTAGTCAATATAAAGAGATGTCCTCTTTATGTGCTCTATCCCTTTCAATCGACTTTTTAGGCAATATTTTTTTGTGCTAAGATTAAACATTATACCGTTATCAGGTGCACGGCATTATGGTCTGAGTGTGAAGAAGTCTTCAAGGAATTTGTTGCACCAATTATCACATCTTCTTTGATTCTTACCGCGCATCATGTTTTTCGTTAGCCAAGTTCATAAAATTTTTTTTCGGAAAGAACCTTTTTGGTATACAACTTGAAACGTGTACCAAATTCAATTTTGTTCAAAAAACTGAATTCTATATTGTTGTTATTATTATTGTATGTATATATATATTTAACAATATTCCTCTTGATAGTTTCTTTCTTGATATATATTTTTTTTTGTTATTTATAAAGAATGATTCTAAGTATATGAACTAAAATAAAATTCTAATGACAAAGTGTAGATAATACATCTATACTACATTAAAAGTAGCAATCCTTATTGCTCTTGGAAAATCAAGGATTCAACTAATTATTAATTGATAATGCGAGAATAATCGTAGAGAATCACCATCTCAAGCATCAATGCAGGGGCAACAATTTGTTTTGTAATTGATTCGTATTTAAATAGTTTCCTTTTTTAATATGCGAAGGATTGTTATTTTAATTTATTTTACATGACGATTGTTTCTCAAGAATGATTATTATAGTACCTATATATTCATAAAACTAAATTTATTTTATACTCTGTTGAAGAAGTGTCTACTCTTTCGCGTCTTCAGATCGACTAAAATCAAATGCATGCTTTTTGTGGGAATACGAATAATTAATTATTCATTTTTGTAGGGACAGTTTTAAAAAGCAACTGTTATTATAGTCTAAGAACACTTGAAATTAATGTTTAAACATCTTTAATCAATATCAACACGCGGTCCAAGTATCGTATAATTATATGGTAATTATATACACAAATTGCATTCATATTTTTAAGTATTCTCTATATGCTTCGCTTATTTCGTCTATAGACAAAATTCACGTTCACAATTCTTTACACTACAGACTAAATAAGTTATATAGATCTGTTTGACGGCGAAAGAATCAATTGAAGAAACCACAAGATTTATAAAATTACAATTGTTTTTAAAACATGTGTGATAAAGTTGAAAAATTATAACATTAAGTATAATATATTAAATATCTAGTAAAAAGCTATAATAACCATGTTTCCTATTGGAGAACTTGCTTTTACAATAATGGAGTATATAGGAATTTGGCGACCGATATCTTTTACATCAAAATTGTCCATTATCATTTATAATGTTTATAGCATTTTTATAATAATTATAATGTACTTTCACACAAGTACATTTTTTGTAAATATGTGTCTAAATTTTAATAATACGGATTTACTAATAGATAATATTATTTATTTTACTGGTTTAACTACTTTGTGTTTTAAAATGACTTATATTAAAATTTATCGTAATGATTTTGTCGCTTTTAAAAATATGTTTCTAGACACAAAATGCAATCCACAAAATAATCATGAATTGTCAATGCAAATTAAATTTTATGAAAATGAAAGGTTTGTGGAACTTAAAAAATACGTTTTAACTTTTTTACACCAAATCCATCTAATAAAATATAATTAAATTTTTTATCCCCTTTAGATTAAATTCACGAATTTTTGTGACTTCTTGCTGTGTTAATTTAGCTTTATTTACCCTAATACCATTGTCAAAGGGAGTTGTAATCTTTAGAACTTGGATACCGTACGAAGTTAATTCAAGATTTCGGTATTGGATTACTGAATTTTTTCAAACAATATTTCTTAGTGTATCGGTTGCAATATATTCTGCAGTTGAAATTGTTGCTCCAATTATGATGCAACAAATATGCGCACAATTGGAGATATGCAGATATCGTCTAGTTAATATTCCTCGTTTATTAAAATTGAATGACACTGACAAAATTGAAACTTATCGACAGGAATCTAAACTTATGGAAAACTGTGTTTTGCATCATGTTTATATTTACAGGTATTAAACCGCAATATCCCAAGCAAACATTTCTGTTAAACGCCGATATTGACAACAGGCGCAATCATGCGCCAATACTGGCTGGCCGACAGTTGGCTTACCAGTATTGGTTCAGTACTGATATGGATTAAATTTTGTACTGTGCCAATACTACAAGCCAATACCGGGATGCCAGTATTTTCCAATACTGTGCCAATATTATTGAGACAGTAATGGCAAACCAGTACTCGGTGAGTATTAATTCAATACCGAATGCCAGTATCCAGAAAAATTATGAAAATTGACCTCCATAAAGTTGGCGTTGACGCTCAGCGCCGAAAATTATTTTTCACAGTACCAAAAATGTCAAATTATTTTTTTTTAAAGATTTTCGGTCCAAATATGTAATGCCTTAAGAAATACTTTTTAAAGTATTACACCGTCCGACACGATTTTTCACACACGAAAAAATCAATGATTTTCAGAAACTAGGATCAAAAAAAAGATACCCGTGTCTGTCCGTTTTGCTAGATCAGGTCATTTTTTTGCTTTTAGGGGTAAAAACAACCCTTAAATGAAAGGTGATAGGAAATCTTGTACAAAAAAATAATTTTTTATGAAACCTGGTATCTCGGGGTTTTCCGGGTCGCTGATTACGAATCTGATGTCAGATTTTCAAAATTCAAAATGGCGGATCCAATATGGCGGTCAAAATTTATAAAAATTCACCAATTCATTTGAAAGTTGTTACTTAGGAGTTTTTGGGGTCGCTGATTACGAATATGATGTCAGATTTTCAAAATTCAAAATGGCGGATTCAATATAGCGGTCGAAATTTATAAAAGTTCATCGAATTCACTTGAAACTTGTTACTTGAAGGGTTTTGGGGTCGCTGATAACGAATATGATGTCAGATTTTAATAATTCAAAATGGCGGATCCAATATGGCGGTAGAAATTTATAAATATTAATTATTTTTTATAAAACTTGGTGTCTAGGGGTTTTTGGGGTCGCTAATAATAACATAATAATAATAATAATAATAATAATAACATAATAACATTTATAAATTTCGACCACCATATTGGATCCGCCTTTTTGAATTTTGAAAAGCCAACATCAAATTCGTAATCAGCAACCCCAAAAACCTTTAAGTAATAAGTTTCAAGTAAATTCGACGATCTTTTATAAATTTCAAACGCCATATTGAATCTGCAATTTTGAATTTTAAAAATCTGACTTCAGATTCGTACTCAGCAACCCCAAAAACCCATAGACACCAAGTTTTATAAAAAACAAAATTAATATTTATAAATTTCGATTGCCATATTGGATCCGCCATTTTGAATTATCAAAATCTGACATCATATTCGTTATCAGCGACCCCAAAAACCTTCAAGTAACAAGTTTCAATTGAATTCGATGAACTTTTATAAATTTTGACCGCTATATTGAATCCGCCATTTTGAATTTTGAAAATCTGACATCATATTCGTAATCAGCGACCCCAAAAACCCCTAAGTAACAACTTTCAAATGAATTGGTGAATTTTTAAAAATTTTGACCGCCATATTGGATCCGCCATTTTGAATTTTGAAAATCTGACATCAGATTCGTAATCAGCGACCCGGAAAACCGCGAGATACCAGGTTTCATAAAAAATTATTTTTTTGTACAAGATTTCCTATCACTTTTCATTTATGGGTTGTTTTTACCCCTAAAAGCAAAAAATTACCTGATCTAGCAAAACGGCCAGACACGGGTATCTTTTTTTTTGGTCCTAGTTTCTGAAAATCATTAATTTTTTCGTGTGTGAAAAAAAAGTTGAATTTTGTCGGACGGTGTTATGTGAACCCAAAACTTTTTTAAAAATGATTTGTTATTTTTGGTCCCGTTAAAAATAATTTTCGACGTTGAGCATCGACGTCAACTTCATAGACGTGAAAATTGTGTACTTTTGTTGATTAGAAATTAAATTTACATACATATTTTTTAAAAATATTTTAATACTTCTTTTCGATTACTGCAATCCGTTTGTTAACGGAATTATGAAATTTAAATTTAATATATTTTTTTTAATTTTAAAATTTTATTTTTAATAAAAAAATACATAATTAATGAAGTTCTCAAATTATTTTTCTTACACTGAAAAAATATATTTGAATCAAATAAACTCTATTTTAACCAATAATTTCATTCAGTTTCGGTAATTTAAACAAATACAAATAAATATATATATTTTATAATATTTGAAGAAATTATTTGAATAATAAAATAAAGAGTAAAATGTTAATATAAAAAAATAACAATTTAAAAGTTATTATAATAATATATTATTATTAATAGTTAATGCTATGAGCGCGTGATGTTCGAGCGAAGAATCGGTTCTTCGATCCAGCTGCTCAATTAATGTGAAAAGCAAAAAGAACCCTGAATTTTAAATACCTACCAGTGCTGGCTTATTACTGGTTACTATAATTTTGCCCGTACTGTCAAAATACAGAATTACTGATAAATTCCAGTATTGAACCAGTACTGAACGCCAGTACTAAGCCATTACTAATGACCAGTACAAATAAACGTTATCACCCCAAACATATGCCAGTATTGGTTCAATATTGGCGGTCAGTACTTTGCCAGTAATTGCCAGTACTGGCGCAACACTGCGCCGGTTGTAAATTTTTGCTTGGGATAGGATGAAATAAATAAAAAATTCATTTGTGCAACACCTGCAAGAAAAGAGCTACTTTACTTTAACGTAAATGCAGTACAAATCAGTTGTTGATTTCTCCATTCTGATAAAGTGTGCAGCAAAGTACACTTTTCTGCACACTTTTAGGCATATTAGATAACATAACCTTAAATTTATTCTTTAAAACAGCATATAAAATAGCTTTTTCTTACAGATGTTGCACAAAGCACTGTGTTCAACTAGAGCGGAAATTAGCATTTTCCGACGAGATTGATTGCTATCAACTTACAAACTCGTCAAAAAACGGCTTCTTTCCGCTCCTGTTGCACAATGTACTATTTCACTGTATCATTACACCCAGAATGTTGTCAATTAATTTATTATTCAGAAAAATTTTAGTTTCACTAAAGTAAAATATAATATTCCAAAAAAAAAAAAACAAATTTCTTCTCGAATTTCTTTGATTAAAATATTGTCAACAACTAATCCTTGGAAACAGTGTTTATTCTATTAAATATTAATAGATTTTATATTTCCAAAAATTATGTTTCTAAATATCTGAATGGAAATCGTATATAGTCTGAAGGAAAAATTGAATGATCTATTTAGTTTAATGGTCTTTATGCAATTTTTTTGCTCTACTATAAGTTTATGTACGGTTGTTTATCAATTATCAAAAATAATTATAATGAGCCTTAAATTCTGGTCAATGTTTATAATATTGATCCTTCTCTTAATGCAAATTTTTCTGTATTGTTTATTTGGAGAGTTAATGATTCAAAAGGTAATTTGATATGTTAATTCTTTTATTCACATATACACAACCGTAATTAGTAATTTGACAGTTTTATTAAAAAAAGAACTTTTCCTTAAAAATCACTTAAATGCTATACTTGTTTTCAAGAGTTTGGCAGTCTCTGATACAGTTTATCGTATGAATTGGACTACGCTGTCGGAAAAAACAAAAAAAAATTTAATCATGATAATGATACGATCAAGTAGGCCTATTGAGTTAAATGGTGCATCAATTATCACGATGTCTATAAACACTTTTGTTAAGGTAAAATTATGTTTGACAAATAATTAATACTGCTTTTAATTTAATAGTACGCTCATAATTTTAATTACTGACAAGTAATTACTGACCTGGGGTCGTGGCCAAAAGCAATATAGCGTAATTTCGATAACACTTTTTAGTGAATTTACATGGGATACAGTATAGAGATGTATAATTGAACCTTTTTAATACTTTTTTTAAAAGATTAATGCGAGAAACAAATTTTTGTAATAATGGTTTTTAGGGTCGCTGTTTACGAATTTGAAGTTAATTTTGAAAAATTTTAAATGTTGGATGTATTATGGCGGATACTTTTTTTAAGTTTATTGTATTTACTTTGAACTTGTTTACCGTGGGTTTTTGAGGTCGTTAAATTACGATTTCATGTTCCTTTTAATAATTTATTATTGTTCTTAATATTCTATATGTTCTTCTTTAGGTCCTGAAAGCCTCATTCTCCATTTTTAATTTAATACAATCAACAACGTAATTAAGAAACAATTATAAAATAAACGATAAGAAAAATTCAGCATTTATTTAAAGATTAAAAATTTTATAACCAATACAAATATATTTTTCAAAACAAAAATGAAAAAACTTCAATAGGTAATAATGATGATTAGCGATTTGTGTTGTTCATGTTGATTGAATGAAAATTGATGTGCCCTGCACGGAAAAAATAAGTTAGCAAAACTTTCTTAAACTAGTAGGTATTTCACTTTTGGATGGGAACGAAATTTGTTCAAAAAGTATAAACACATTTTATTAAGAAAACAAGGCTAATAATAAAAATATGAACTATATATACGAACCGATGATCAATGATGCTCTGATGTTTTGAAAATACCCAATCAGCATGAAAACTTGCAGGAAGTTTGTCGTGCAAGATTGCAGTGCAAACATGTAGCAAGTTTGGTGCAAGCAACAAAATATCCTCTTGTGGCAAGGTAGTTAAGCAAGCTTGCAACAAGCTTGTATAATACTAAAAAAAATTTTTTTAGAAACAATTTGTTACTAAATCAACATAAAAGGCACCCTGCTTTGGAGGTTAAAAAATTTATTGCGCAGCCGTAGGAGCTTCCGTTTACAACTGCGCATCGTATTAAGTTTTGCAAACTTGCAGTAAGTTTGCGCCAACGTTGCCCTGCAAGCATGCCACAAGAGGACATTATGTTGCTTGCACCAAACTTGCTAAATGTCTGCACTGCAATCTTGCACATGTTAAACGGCAAGTTTCTTACAAGTTAGATGCGGATTTTGATAAGCATTCTAATGGTGTTTTTAAAAGTACTCTAATTTTATTTGTTCGTAAAATATTTCATTTTTTATTAACTTTCGTTAGTTAATTAATTAATATCTCAAAAACAAAAAACAATGCCATCTCAAAAATTTAACCATCAATTTAATATGACCTAAACAATATTCATGATTTTTTTCGCGCTTCTAAATGAGGGAGAACATGTTTAAAAGTTATAAACAAATTTTATTTTTTAAACAAATTGTTTAAAAATTAATATTTTTTTTAAAAAATAATTTTTTTGCAACACTAACCTCTAAAGTTAAATTTTACATACCGAAAAGTGTGTGTAAAGAAGATCTTTTTCAAACGGTGTGTAAAGTGATTCACTTTACGCACTGCAATTTACTTTGCGCACCGAAATTTCTCTCACATAATAAAAGGATTGTTTTAGACCATACAAAACCACAAAATTAAAAAACGAACTTTACATTTAAATTTATACACTCCTGCTTAATGATATTTTTCCTGATCTTCGATTGATTTTTTTAATTCTATCACTGAAAAAAAAGTTCTGGTTAAAGTTACTAGATGCGTTTGGTTAAAAAATTTCTAGTTATTTTAACAAGAAAATATAGTTAAAAAGACTAAACAGTTCTAGTTAAATAAGTATGGTTAAATTATTCTGGTTAAAATAATTCTGGTTAAAAACGCGCGTTCGCGGACACTGCATAGCGTCTGTTGTTCTTTTTCGAATAGTTTATCGTGCGGATCGCAAGAATGGATGAAAAAGTTAACCAAGCTCTGGAAAATTGGGGTTTGGGAGAATTAAAAGATCTGTTTAAAGGTTGGTTATATAATTAATTTTATAATATAAGTGAAAAAATTGTTGACGAACGGCAAACTCGCGTAGAAAATAGTTTGAAGGTTATGTTGAAAACGTGCTCGACACGTTTTATCAGAATTTTAATTCTGAATAATCATATTTAAATAAACATTATTAAGAGAATTGCAGTGTAAAGGTGTTATTGTTTGATTGCATTTATATGTACATAATACAAATTTTTTTAATTCATATTTTATAATATTTTATAATATAATATAATAATAATAAATTTAATTAATTCTCTGATTAACTAGAATTTCTGGTAAGATAAACCAGAAATTTTTTTACCAAAAATTTTTAACTAGAAAAATTCTAGTAAGATTAACTTGAAATTCTAGTAAGATTAACTTGAAATTCTGGTAAAATTAACCAGAATTTTTTAACCAAATTTTCTAGTACTTTTAACCAGAAAAAGTAGTAAGGGTATATATAACTTTTTATTCTGGTTAGATTAACCAGAATTCTGGTTATTTTAACCAGACTTTTTTTTCAGTGATACAATCGAAATTATTCTAATAGAGAGTTCGAATTCTTTATAATAGGTACTTAACTTTAGAGGTGGGTATTGCAAAACATGTTGTATGATACACGTACGTAAATCTGATGACAAAAAAAATATAATAATAATATGCCAGATCCGAGTAGAAGAAGACACCTATAACCAACATTTAAGCACATTTCGTCAAAAAAAATTTTCAAAAAAATTCACTTTTTCTTAGGCAGACTATTTTATTGCAATTTCTTGCACAAAATACACCTAAAAGTGTAGAAAAAAATTGACAGCCAAATGTGAGTAGAGGAAGACACCTATTACCACCAAAAAGTCCTCCGACCCATAAATCGAAAATCATAAAAAAGTCCCCAAAAAAATTCAATTTTTCTTAGGCAGACTAATTTATTGCAATTTCTTGCACAAAATACACCTAAAAGTGTAGAAAAAAATTGACAGCCAAATACCAGTAGAGGAAGACACCTATTACCACCAAAAAGTCATCCGACCCATAAATCCGAAATCATAAAAAAAACCCCAAAAAAATTCAATTTTTCTTAGGCAGACGATTTTATTGCATTTTCTTGCACAAAATACACCGAAAAGTGTACAAAAAAATTGACAGCCAAATAAGAGTAGAGGAAGACACCTATTACCACCAAAAAGTCATCCGACCCATAAATCC